ATTTGATTGACCGTGACAGGAATCATTTAGAGAGTTTTCTTCACAACTCCAACAGTAGATTTGTGCAACATGCATGCTATCAACTTCGTGAGTATGTTCAGGCGCGTGTTGCAGTTTCTGATCCCTTGTATGAGATGATCAAGAAGGAAGAGTTTGAACGCCAATACAATTCCAAGTTTTTGGAGGCGATTTCTTGCTCTCGTGTTGTAGTTGAGCCTGTAAGTTCAGGGACGTATGAGCCATCATCGAAGCTGAACTTAAAGGTACTACAAGACATCCTGAAGGGTATCTTCAAGATCCAGAAGGATGAGGAGCTTGCCAAGGAACGTGATGAAGAAGAAGAACAGGCAGCTCAAAACATCTCATACCTGTTGGCAGATGATATGGAGCTTGATTTTGATGATGATGATGTTCCAGTATGGCGCTCCATTGTCGACAAGTACAGAGGAGGTGATCAGGTGCTACAGGGAGAAGCTGTGAAGATTACTCACCTGTTCAGGGATCAAAAGGACAATGAGAAGGCGACAGAAGCTTTCAGTTCAGAGAGGACAGATTTTTATGAGACCTCAGGACCTCTTCCAAGAACCGAGGGAGAAAATCTTGTAGAGGACTTGCTCACCAAGGATGTTGCAGAACAAGCTTTTGAAGCAGGTGAAGAAGTTCCTCCTTATACAAGAGTCTCCACTATCGCTGGTGAAGTCTATACTGGAAGTATGACACTTCTAGAAGATGAGAATATGGAAGAGGAAGTTCCTGAAGAAGATCCTGCAGTTGAACCTGAAAAGGAAGAAGAAATATTTGATGAAGATGCAGGTATTTTTCCTTCAGAGGAACCAAAGATGGAAGTTGACCAGGAGGAAGCCAAGGAAGAGTCAACACCACACTTTCTGTCAAGAGAGATAGGTGAGGACTCGACTGCATCGCACTTACCATCAGGTGAGATGGATGCTAACCTTGATGATACTTCAGGTCAGCGGAAATCGAAGAGAAGCCGCCTGAATAAAATTCCTGATCCTCATTTTCATGAAGAAGTTCAGGATGATGCAACCATGGAAGAGAAGAAAGAGGCGGTAGAGAAAATAAAAGAAGTCAGAGAGGATGATGGAGAGAAGAAATTGGAGGCTGAAATCCAAGAATCTTTTCCATCTGAAGTAGTTGTTGAAAAGGATACAACAAAAGCTGACGATACCTATGAATTGCATACTTCACCTTTGAAGTTGCTTGGAGAGATTACAGGAGATCCAGGTATTGGCTTTTATCAACTATGCTTCAGGGAAACTCATGCAAGATTGCTGAATCATGTTTGTTTTAGAAAAGGTGAGATTTCCCATCCTCATTATCAGTCGAGGATCAACGAGAATGATTTTGTTCGATCCATTCGTAATATCTGTCCAGTACCTCCACCTGATTGTTATGAACATGAACCAGAGCATGATTTGAAGAGATTCTTCATCAATGATGACCGCATCATTTATTTGGATGGCAGGTATCAGGTCGATCCAAAGGCCCTTGAAAGGGCAGAACATGCTCGAGAAGAATTGGAGGAGACGAAGAAGGAACTCAAGAATGAACTGGAATCATATGGTCCCAAGGGACCCAGTTGGGACTTTGTCACCTTCTATGAAGAGCTGTGCAGAAGGTTCCTCAAGGGAAGAATAGAAGAACCATATGGAACTAACTTATTGGCCAGCTCAGAGTCCTTGACATTTTTATCCTGGAACTATGGCAACATGGTTCGTGGTCAGAAGTACACCACACCAAGGTTTCTCCAAGGACTTGATAGTGCAATGAGGCCACGCAAACAGAGCGCCATGTCACTTCAGAATGAGCAATTTGAGAACAACCTTTTCTTCAACATGCTCTTCTTTTTACGTGCACATGTCGTGATTCTCCAGGAAGCTCATCTTCTTGTTCCTGCCAAGGAATTTATTGAGCAAAAGAATTGGACAGTTTGTTTCAATGATTGGGAGAATCTTGCAGTGATGGCTAGATTGGCACCAGGTGGATATGTCAAGATCATTGCTGGACATGATCAAGAACCTGGTCACTGTGAACAGCGTGATGTAACTTGGGCTATCTACGAGATTTGTTTTGGAGAAACAAGGCCTCGTCAAGATTTCAAGGATGCAGACTTTGAATTTGATGACTATGGTCCTGAGGACAAGCGTGTTCCACTTACTCGAGCGAACATGCATACCATCAGAGTCTGTAATTACCATGTTGATACACACCGTGCTGTGGATGCCCACCTACTGACAGGAGAACAAACAGCATTGATGCTTTACGAGTGTTTTGTCTATGAGGTGGACATCATTTCTGGTGATGCAAATAGTTTGGCCTACAGAATGTCTGGGTACAAAAGGCAGCCAATGGCTAACTACTATTACAGCACCATGCAGCATTAGATCCGCAGGTTTTCAGAAGCTCGTGTAAAAGCAGATCTTGGTATCAAAGCACCTATTCCCAGAACATTTTACAGTTCAACTTCACAGGTCCTCAAGAAGTGTGAAGTTTACTTTGATAAACTCTGGGAAGAATATTCTACTGTTGAAAGAGAAGAATACCAAGGATCACAGCTTGGCGATACATGTTTGTCTACCATTGTTGAATGGGGTCATTCAATGAGTGAAGAGGAACATGAAAATTCCACAGTGAGCACGAAGGAGTTCATCTGTAATTTTTCAGAGAACTTTGCTATGATTGATACAGAGGTTATGTGCTCAAGGCCCACTGACGAGGACAGTCATGGTCCAATGTTTATTTCACTCAGACCAGCTTCCTTTTCATCTGGAGACAGAAGACAGTATCGCATGGGAGCAACGCTTCATGAGGCGAACTTGCGGAGGAAGGAGAGACAAAAGCAGAATAGAAAGAAAGGAAGGCCGCCAACTTCTGGTCAAGCAGCTTCATCGTCTGCAGCGGCATAATTCCTGAGCGAAGGCTGAAATTTAAATGATGGCTAGGAAGTGAAGATACTTCTGGTTACAGTTGATACTTTGCTTCCAGGCTTGACTTTAAATTGCCAGGCTGAAGTTTTAATAAATTCTGGTTTGCAATGAGGAGAAACTTTTTATCAAAGAAGATACTCCTGCATTCCAGGTTTATATGCTTTAGCATTTGGATAGGTATGGACAGTTTTACATAACTGATGATATCTATCATCACCGCTCTTATGAAGTGACCTCTAATGGACAACCAGTCATGGTTGATGATTAAGTCATTTCAAGATTTGCAATTGTAGTGCAAGATTTTTTGTACATACATTTGCCGGTATCTCCTTCTTGTGTTTTTGATGTGAATGTGAAAGAGAGTCCTTTTGATGCAGTTTATTTTGTCTGTGAATGAAAGCGGTCGAGACCACGTCACGAGAAGATTATTCCTCGGACCGTACGCTCCTTGCATTTTGCAAGGCATCTTAATTCATTGCATTGTGCGGTCTTGAATTTTTAGTTCTTTGTTACGCGAGTGTCGTTTGATTCTTTTATAGGTCTCTGTAGAGAAAAAGCCGCTTTTCCTTTTTAGTTTGATTTAGCTCAGGCCATAAAGAGCTAGTGAGCGCCGGTACATGGTATCTCCGCCTGCGAAAAGTACAGTCTCCAGCCGAGGTACATTATCGATTTGATCTTGTACTTGAGGTGAGTCAGCTATTGCTCCCTCACTGTATTTAGTAGCTATGAGATTACCTTCTCTGAAGTGTGAAACACACTGGATTAGGTAAGTACATGGCACCGTAGTTTTCTTTTAAGTTGTCAGAGCTAGCTGGACTGTTTTAGCCTTGCAGTAGAAAAGAGTATGCGACATACGCAATCAGCTAGAAGTGGACATGAATCTTGTGCCTGCTGAAAAGTAGAGCCTACCTGTACAGGGTTCCACTCCAACAGCTGATATAGTGTGTCCATGCTTGACTGCTTCAAGGCTCAAGAGAGGGTCAATGGACCTAAAGAGCAAGAGGATAAGACTCTGCACATAAAAGACACTAGCGGTCTGCACCTCTACCGTGTACGCCCTAGTCACTCTTTCACCCCCCCCCCCCCTCCCCTCTCCCCACCTCCCCTCTCCCCACCTCCCTCTTCGCAAGTTCGACTCCGTCCTGTCGTCGCTCTTTGGCATGCGGTGAGCGTTGCGTATCTTGCGGCCGCACTCGCTCACTCTCACTCTCACTCTCTCACTGTCTCACTGTCTCACTGTCTCTCTCATCTCTCTCATCTCTCTCATCTCTTTCTCATCTCTCTCATCTCTCTCTCCTCTCTCTCTCTCTCTCCTCTCTGTCTCTCGTCTTTCCGTCTCTCTTCTCTCTCGCAGGAGGATCCGGGCAAAGAGCCACATATAAAGGACTCTTCACCCCTGCTCTTGCGGCCGCACTCGCTCACTCTCACTGTCTCTCACTGTCTCTCACTGTCTCTCACTGTCTTTCACTGTCTTTCATTGTCTCTCTCTGTCTCTCTCATGTCTCTCTCATGTCTCTCTCATGTCTCTCTCATGTCTCTCTCATGTCTCTCTCATGTCTCTCTCATCTCTCTCTCATCTCTCTCTCATCTCTCTCTCATCTCTCTCTCATCTCTCTCTCATCTCTCTCTCATCTCTCTCTCTCATCTCTCTCTCATCTCTCTCTCATCTCTCTCTCATCT